AAAAAACCCCAGGGGTGTTCAAACTTGACGGCTTTAAGACTTGTGGACTTCAACTCCCAGAATCCCTCCTCTCGCTCTTCATCTTGAAAAAAACCCTTTAGAAAAAAAAACCCCAGGGGTGTTCAAACTTGACGGCTTTAAGACTTGTGGACTTCAACTCCCAGAATTCCTCCTCTCGCTCTTCATCTTGAAAAAAACCCTTTAGAAAAAAAAACCCCAGGGGTGTTCAAACTTGACAGCTTTAAGACTTGTGGACTTCAACTCCCAGAATTCCTCCTCTCGCTCTTCATCTTGATGATGTGCGGACGGGCGGAACCAGTTCTAAACGGCACTGTAAATTTGTGGAACCTGTTCTATAAAGAGCTTAGAACTGGCAGGAACCCACCCCTGGCATGTGCAGAGTGCCAGACAAAGGGAACAGCTAAAGAACGGGGGTCGACTTGGGAGTAAGGCCACAGGTGTGCAATGAACGGCCCCTCCCAGAGGAAATAAAAGAGGAGCAAAAGGGGAGTGGAGTTTGCAGGAGACAATTTGTTCGCTTCATTGGTTCGTGACTCTCCCAGACTCCTTGCCAAGTTTGGCCTGGCAGCTCTCCAAGCCAGATAAGGTCTGTGACTATAAATCCTCCCTCGAAAGACTTTGCTGGAGGTGAAGGAGCAGAATTCAGTGTCAATGAATAAAAGGTTTTTTTGTCAGGACAAGGAGTTTGCTTCAGGCTCTTGGGAAGCCTGGGTCAGAACACCATCTAGGTAACATCATCAGTGCTAGAAGGGAGTGGGTTGTGGGGAGAAAAGGAGACATCTCATCACTCACCTACAGAACATCATCAGTGCTGGAGGGGCAGTTGGGTTTGTAGAGAGGAGGAGGAGAAAGAGGAGGGGGAAGAGGAGAAGGACTGTGGGGTCCTTGGTGCTCTCTGAGCTTGGTGGCTTTCTTGCAGACGTTTCGTGACCCATCTAGGGAACATCATCAGTGTTAACGATGATGTTACCTAGTTAGGGTAATGAAGTGTTTGCAAGAGAACGAACAAGCTCAGAAAGGATTTAGATACCCGGGTGGGGCGGGGGGGCATCCTTTAAAATCTCCTTTCTGCCTGAGGATTGTTAAAACAAACTAAGCCCACTGAGAGCAGTTTTCCAAATGGAAGCCCTGAAGTGTGGTAGAGAGAAAATTCTGGGAGAATTTCTTAGCGAAAGAATCTATATGGTGCACGGATGTTTTAGGCCACTTCAATTTCCCGCTGCCAGGCGCTTGGTAGTTCTTGATTTATAACCGTAACCGAGCCAGGAGTTAATGGCAGCAAGTCACCGCAGCCGTACGACGCAGCCTCGTGGGACCAGAGGGGAAGCCGCTACTCTTGTTTACAACGGTCGTTAAGTGAACGGATGCAGCAGTCGTAGAGCGAAGGCATTTCTGGGCCAGGAAATAAAGGAACAGAACACCAGAAATGGACAAAAATGGCAGCTCACCTGTCTGCAGGATGGTGCAAACGGCCATCCAGGTGAGCCCGTTGCCAAGGGCCCAAAATGCGTACCTGTGACCGAGGCTGTGTACCACGCAGAGATCGTAACTCGGAAAACGGGTCGTAGGTAGCTCTGGCGTAACTTTGAATGTTCGTTAAGTGACCGGTTGTAAGTCAAGGGCTCGCTCTCTAAAATCCGCAGAAATGGGCTGGAAGGCGCGAAGAAGGTTGGCCTCTCACCAACCTCCTTCTGTTTTCTTCGCAGGCCGCCTCTGTCCCTCGGCTTCCTCCCGCGCCGTCTCTACAGCCGGCCCAAAGAGAGCGAGGAGCCCGAAAACGCCGAGCCGCTGTCCTTCACCAAGAGCCCCGCCAACCCCCGCCGGTGGAGCACGCGGCAATCCATGGGCAGCGACCAGCAGCAGCCCCTCTGGCGGGCCATGCTGATCAGCCTGAGCATTGCGCTGCTCCTCCTCTGGTGCGTTTTGCGCCCCGAGACCGAGGTGGACCGGCAGGCCGAAGAATTCTTGCAACGCTTGCAGATTATACCGCAACAGGAACCGCCCCCTTCCATCCCTTCGGGGGAGGACGAGAAGAAGCCTTAACTCGGACATGGGGAGGATCAGGAAGCCTACCAGGGCAAGGATGGGCAGGGCTGGCCCAGCTGCTTGCCCGGGGGAAGAGGAAAATGATTGATGACGGTTGATAAGAGAGAAGGCTGAGCTCAGGAAACGGCTCTTTAAAATGAACTATGCCCAACTTGGGTGAATTGCGAATTGAAGTGGCCTATCTCCTGCGTGCCCCCCCGTTTATTTAAAAAAAAAACCAGTGAAAAGGAGATTGAGTTCCCCCAAACTTTTCTCAGTTGGGGGATGAGGCTGAAGGGCGGCAAAACACCATATATATATATATATNTAAATAAAGCAACCCAAACTGTATATTATAACCTATTAAATGAAATAATAAATGTATAAGAATGATAAATGTAAAGAAGAATAACAATCGTGTGAATGTAGACTTAAAATGGTATGTAAGAGAATAACAAAATCAAACATTTTCTTGAAATGGTTCCTTTTCAAAGGCATACACCGTGAACGGCTTCTTTGGCAAAGCCACCGATGACTTCTCTGACACGGGCAAACTGATTGAGAAGAGCACGTTTGGTAAGTGGGCTTGTCCAGAGGAGCTAAAGTGACACGCGCTGCAGTTGGTGGTTTTTTCCACATTGGGACTTTTGGAATTGCTTTGGGAAAAGACGGGGGGGAGAAACCAGAGGAAGGGAAAACTTAACCCCGCTTGTCTCCCTTCTTCTTCCTCCTCGGAGATCACGTAACGCGGGAGAAACTGGAGCGGATGGTTTCGGTGATCCAGGGATCCAACCACAAGGCTCTACTGCAGTGAGTGTTCAAATTGCAGCGTTTGAAAGGGGCGTGTAGCGTGGAAGGGGACTGCCCAAAGTTAGGGACGTTCCAGAAGAGAAAGGATCTTAAAAAAGGAGAATATTTGTAGCTCAGGGTTAAAACAAGGGGTCCTTGGTGCTCGAAGAGCTTGGTGGTTTTCTTGCAGAGGTTTCATGACCCATCTGTTGTGGCCTGCTAGCAGAACTGGCAGAAGAGTCGGGCAGTGAGGAGTTTGGGGAGGAACATAGGCCAGTCCTGGAGTCTGGGGAAGGCTCTGATGAGGGCTCTGTGTTGGAGGCAGAGAGGGGGCCAGGGCCGTATGCCACTTATCAGCTGCCTTTGGAGTCAGACATCAGTGAGGCAGAAGAACAACTGGAGCCTGTTCCCAGTGTGCGCATGCGCAGAGTTGCCAGACGAAGGGAACAGCTAAAGAACAGGGGTCGATTTAGGAGTAAGGCCACAGGTGGACGATGAATGGCCCCTCTCAGAGGAAATAAAAGAGGAGCAAAAGGGGAGTGGAGTTTGCAGGAGACAATTTGTTCGCTTCATTGGTTCGTGACTCTCCATATCAGCCTG